CCTGCCCATGCTCCTCTGCACCATCACATCACCCTGCCCCACTCCAGGTAGTGCAGCACGGCCAGGGCACGGGGCTGCTCAAGGGAGAATAGCCCATGTGGTCAGCACACCACGCCTTTGGCATCCTGCTCAAACCTGGGGCTCCTCTCTGCTGGGATTGGGGCTGCAGAGCCCCTTCCCAACCTAAGTACCCTCCAGGACTGGCCACAGGCTCTGGGAGAGCCCTGTGGTGCAGCGGGGCAATGCCACCCCGTGGGGCGGCCAGCCCAGCCCCCAGTGCCCCCATGCCCAGCGTGGGTCCTACCTGGAGCGCGGTGCCAGCGGGGCACGGGGCTGGGCTGCTCCCTCGCCTCTGCCATCAGGACTTCTCCATCCGCCCCGCACCGCGCTCCGGACCCGCCGCGGACACGAGATGCTTCCTCATTTGGGGGTTGGCTTGCAGGCTCTGACTGGCAGGCGCTGAGCTCTGCCAGGGCCACCCGACACGGTGACAGCCCTGTGACCCCGCGGTGCCCACCCCGCACAGCTCTGCGTGAGGGATTCACAGAAAACCATGGCCTGCCCTGCTGAAAAAGTGTCCTCTGGGACATAACTGGGTTGGTGGCACCCAGCACCCACCATTCACCCCCGTCTCCTCTCCTCACTTCTCCACGGGGGACATGGCACACACACAGCCCTCAGCTGCAACCCCTCATCATCCAGGGAGCTGCCCCACACGGTGACCCAGGAAATGTCCCATGTCTAGGACAAAACTCCCACACACAGGTCTCCAGGCACCTCAGGAAATGTCCCATATCTAGGACAAAACTCTCACCCATGAGTCTCCAAGCGCCCCATGGAATGCTGCCCTGCCCCGGGGCACACCAGCCCCTCTCCAGCAGTCCAGGAGCCACAGCTGGGACACTGTCCCTGACCCCAGCAGGACTTTTTGGACCCTCCTCAGCCCCAGCAGTGTTCCTGTTCTGAGCTGCTGGGCACAGGCAGAACTGGAAAGAACGCTTCCCTGTGATTTAGTGGCTTGCAGTAAACCCCTATTATATAGCTTGCAGTAAAACCCTATTCCCAGACAGCACCCTGGAGCAAAGTGCAGGCCTTTTCCCAGGAAAAAAGCCAACCTGGCAGAAACATTGGTTCAGCTGAGCAACACTGTGCTCCTGCCATCTGCTTGAGCATGAGGCCATGCTGGGCCCTCAGAGGGGTGCTGGGGCTGCTGCTGTGACACCACGCAGGACCTCTTGGGGGGAGGGACACTTGTCTAGGGTCAATTTGACCCCCTTGGAGCTGTCCACTGACTGATGTCCATGTGGGGCACCAGGGGACAGGGGGCAAAGAGTCAGCCACGGGACAGACCCTCTTCCCAGTGTGGTCCACCCTGATGGGATCTCTGGAGGGAGTGAGCCAAGGAGGTGCTGGGAGGAGCCTTCCCACCTCATCCATCCCCAGGGCATCCCACTGCCTGCCCTGGCACACAGAGTGCCCATCCTGCTCCCTGCCAGCATCTGGTCTTGCATCACCCCTCAGCCGTATGGCGCAAGTGCCCTTGTTTCCTCCTGCCGAAGGAAGTGGAGACGGGCCATGGAGCTCCAGGCTCACATGGGGGTCTGGAGATGCTGCTGCTGCCCGAGACCACCAGCTACCTGGAGGGCTTGCAGCCACCAACCCCCACAGTGTGCCCAGCTCCAGCACATTCGAGGGCAAAGCTGGTCCCCAGCGGTGCCCTGCCCTGGCATATGGGGACACTGCTGGGACCAGGACGTGTCCCAGCTGATTCCATGGCACACAGGGACACTCACAGCTCAGAGCCTGCATGGTAGCATGGGGGAGGCTGCTACTGCCCCCTTCCTGGTGTTCCTCCTTGTCATGCCCTTGCCCTAGCTGGACACCAGTGCCAGGTTTGTCTCTGGGCAGCCTGGCAGGGACATAGGCTTGTCCCCAGGGGATGTAGCACAGACCAGTTGCAGGGTCCCAGTCCCTTGGGCTGCTCAGCCTGGGGCTGGCTGGGCAGTGGGGTGAGGAGGGGATGCAGAACCTGCCCTCCAGGGGTTTCCTCTTCCAATTTGGGACAATTGTCCTTCCTCTGTCTGCAGTCAAAATGAGGGGCTTTGGCACGCCTGGAAAGATCCTCTGCTTATAGAAATCCCCTCCCACAGCTCCTGGTGTGAACTTTCCCAACCTTCTGTGGCTCTGTTGGCCAGGCTACAGAGGGAGCTGCTGGGGCAGGCAAGCACACCAACCCCCTGCCTACAGCCCCTGTCCATCCATGCTGCTTTTCCCATGGCACTGGGTGTCTGGTGCTTCTGCCTGCCCCAGCAGCTCCCTCTGTAGCCTGGACAACCCTCTGACCCCCCATTTTGGGCTGCCACGGGGTGCAGGGCTGTGTGGGATGTGGTACCACATCCAGGCTGGCTCTTACCTGAGATGTCCATATCATCCAGGCTGGGCTGCAGAGGTGCCAAATCCGGCTGTATCATGTCTGCATTCCCAATGTATGCTGGAAGAGGGCAGAGCTGGAACATCAGGGCCCAGCCACTGCACCTCTAAGATCACACTTCAGGGCTGCTCCCACCACCACCTGCCAACCCCTCTGTGTCACCCCAGTCACCCTGTGTCACTGGACCCTTCCCTGGGCAGGGAGGTGGGTGCCCACCCTGTGGAGAGCCAGGGCCATCCCATCCCACCACCCTGCTCCACCTCCACATCCTGCTGGAGCATGGTCTGGGGCACCTACCGTCCTCGGGGAGTGCCTGGTGAGTGCTGGGCATCTGTGTCATGGTGAAGAGGGTGTCAGATATGTCTGAGAGGAAGGTGTCCAAGTCAAAGTGCTGCCTGCTCCCAGGCTCCTCTTCCTCATCCCCAAGCAGCATTGGCACCACGTTGCAGAAGAGCTGGTTGCACCATTTCTCTGTTGGCCTCCAGACACCCTCATCCTGCATGACATGGAGCAAAGGAGCCAGGTGGGCACCTCTCATGGGGAGGGTCCATGCCTGGCTCTGTAGCTGCTCTCCCTGCCATCCCCCATGCTTCCTGCAGTGTTATGACTCCAAACCTTCACATCTGGCACTCTGCTGCTTCCAGAAGGGTGAATCCAGCATCCCAAGTGCTTGGCATCCCATCCCATGGGGCTTGCCACACCATGGGGCTTTCCTCTGCCCTTCTCCCAAGCTGCCCAGTGCAGGGGTCTGCATTGTGCCTCCCTTTTCCCCCTCCCCACCCTTTCCTAGCAGACTCACCTGCTTTGGACTGGAGATCTCTCCCTCCCGGGTGGACTTTCGGAGCTGAAGGAGAAGACAATTTGTGTCACCCCCCAGGCAGGGTGGGTATGTTGTGGGGCAGGGTGAGGGTGACAGCTCAGGGGGGGCAGCCAGCAGCCCCCCCCAACTCTGGCAAGAGCCTGTCACATCCCTCCCTGTCAGCCACAGCTCCAGGGTGGGCATACTGGTGTTCCACCCCACCACTGGCACTGCCTCAGAGGGGGAGCAGCACGGGCAGAGCCACTCACCCGCTTCTTGTAGTAGATCCTCCACTTGTGGTACTCCCTCATCACCACCTCAATGCGGCGCTTCCAGTAGTTCCCCTCCAGCACAACAGCCTGGGGGGGCAGGACAGGGGGTCATGGCTGAGCCCCCCGGCCCCAACACCCCACAGCCAGGGCTGTTTGCCTCGTGCCACGTCAGAAACACCTTTCCCAGCAAATGGGTCCCCAGCTCCCTGCTGTGCCACCCAGACCTGCAAGGGACCCTGCCCTACCTCTGGTTTTCGGTGCTCATCAGCCTCCAACCCCTCCAGAGGGGTGATGAAGCCACACACAGGGTTCTTCCTCCTCTCCACATCTGCACAGGAGAGAGCACAGCTGGCATTATCCATGCCCCATCCATGATTTATCCACACACCTGCACACGGCCGCCCCGGTGCCAGCCCCATCCCCCTGGGCACAGCCTGGCTCCTGGCAGAGGGAGCAGGGTCTGGTCCATACTCACACTGGATGTACCACGCTCTCCAGATCGCGTTGTTGAGACGAATTTTATCCCGGCAAAGCAGCCTCAGCCCCTTGAAATTCTTCCACTTGGGTGACACCAGCTTCCCACTGAAACACCAAGCGAAGGGGAGGCTGAGGGCCACCATCCCACAGTCCTTCCAGTTCAGGGTCTCCCCGGGGGGCTGTGCCTCAAGACAGGCCTAGGGGAACATGCCTAGGGGCCACCAGCCTGGTGGCAAGTCAGGAGCAGGCACAACCAGGTGGCTCTGCTACAGGAGGCTTGGCAGGCACCTCTGGGAGCACCCACAGGAGCATTCCCAACTCCTGTGCACTCCGAGAGCAGCACAGGCCTAATCCCTGAGCTTCACAGACCCACGGGAGGCTTCTCAAACCCCCAGAATTAAAGCACAGCACACAGAGGAATTGACTCCTTGTGGTTTGAACCCCAGCTCTGAGGAGAGATCCCACTGTCCCTGACCAGGCCGGCTGTGTCCCAGCCCTAGGGGACAGGAAGGGAAGTCTCCCGCCCAGGCGAGACGCCCGGGGACATGTGCTGTGGTGCCTCTTGCCTCATCACAGCGTTTGGGCAGCTATTTCTGACCCTCCTTTTCATGCCAGGAAAGACTTGGAAATGCTGCTTTCAGCTGGGGCAGGCAGTGGCAGCCATCCTGGGGTTCTAGGAAGGCAGGACAGCACTGGAGGATGTTCAGGACATTAAGGGACACTTGTCTGTGCCCGAAGACAGACAGAGCAAGACCAGCCCTGCCTTCAGCCAGAGTTGCCCTGACCTCTTCTCCATACCCATCCCTGCAAACCTGTGCCCCCCAGCCCGAACTGGGCTCCTTGCTTCTGATTTCCCAGCTCCCAGAGGCAGCTGTGTTTGTTCTACAGCTCGTTGTGGTGGTGGTGATGTCCCTGATGGGACCTGCATTGGGGGAAGCCTCATTTCACTCACTGTCTTGTTTCCATCCAGCCAAGGGACACAACTGCTCCTGTGCCCTCACTGGGGAGGTCCTGGTGGTCCTGCTGCCCCAGGGGTCCCTCTGCCTCACTTTGGGGCCCATTTCACCTCTCCCAGCTCTCCCACCCATCAGGGCATGGCCCCAGGGCAATGCCAGCTGCTCCAGGGGTCCCTCTGAGAGGTGGCTGCAGCCTGCATGGCATCCCTCCCCAGCCAATAATTTGTCCCCTAAAGATCTCAGTGCTGCTCTGAGTCCCACTTTTCCTTGGCTCATGCAGGGAGCAGGAAAGGTAGAGGCTGGGGTGCTGTATCCCCTGTTCCCAGCCTCTCCTTGGGTGCATCCAGGTGCCTCCAGGCTGTGTCCCCAGGGAGGAGCTGGGGATGAGAATGGTGTAAGAAGCCTCTGACTTGTTCATTCAAGCTTGTGAAACCTCCAGAAATTCTCTAACTATGATTTTGATGGGTTCTTGCCTTGAAATCTGCTTTGACTTGCCTTGAAATCTGCCTCCTGCAGAGGAGGAGGACCAGGGACCCCTCCACCTCCAGAGCCTGATGCTCTGGGATGTGTCTGGGAGTGGGTGCTTCCACCCACAGGGGTGGATGGGGACAGTTTCCCAAGGGACATACAGCCCAACCCACAGCCCCAGGGGCTGGAAAAGGACCTGAGGCCCCGTGGCTCCAGCCTGCAGAGAGTTAAGGACTCGACTATCACCAGGATTTTGAACTTTCCCCAGTGTCACCCCAGGCAAACAGCTCGGTGCTGCCAAGCGGGGGAGCCAATGGAAAGGACGGTTTTCCCAGGCACCAGGCCAAATCCTACTGGTCAAGGCCACGCTCCTCACTCACAGACAGCTGAAAGGAGCAGCCCAATCCCTTGGCGTGCAGTCAGACACCTTGGTCACGCGTAGGGCCTGTGGGGCCGTGGCCACGGAGCTGCTGTGGGGTCTGAAGGCAGTGGCGTGATGCCTTTGGGCTTTGCCTCCAACTGCCTTTTTCTCTCCTTAATGATCCTTTTATTTTTGGGGCTTATCAGTCTGATCTTTGCTCCCTGCTTTGCCTTGAATACGGCCCTACCCTTTCCTGAAATTATCTTCCCAGGGAGATGGATGCAAACCCCACATTGAACCGTGGGAACGGTTTAGGGTGCCCTAAACAGGTTGAGGGGCTTGCTGCCCCACAGTCAGAGGGACTGGGAAACAGTGGGCTACAGGGTATTTGTGGGATGGGGTGAGGTGGGAGCAGGGCTCAGCCTGGGTCCAACCCCAATGTGGGTCCACAGCACCTTGTTTACTCCGTGGCTTATTTACCCATCCAGCACTTTCAGGTGTTGGAGTCCCCGATTCTGTGGCAAAATTGGTTCTTTTCCCCCCATCAGCAGCAAGAGGAGCAGGGAAGAGTGATCTGGAGAGATGCAGGGGCTGCACAAAGAGAAATGAGTGGCAGCAGGAGGGGAACAGCTGAGCTGAGGGTCCTCTGGCAGGGACAAGCCTGCTCATCCCTTCCAAGAAGCAGGATCCCTATGGGGCTATCAGAGCCCCCCTCACCCCCTGAGCTGTGGGACATGGCTGTGGTTCCTGGGGCTGGCAGGAAGGAGGAGAGTGTTCCCTGCACGTCCTGAACACTCATCTTCCATTTCTCACAAATTTTACTACCACAGTCATGTATTTTCTTGAGTTTTTATGTTTTAAAATCCAGAGTCTGGCAAAGAAAGTTAAAAATCCAACCACGGTTTCACTGGAATGTGCCTCCTAAGTGAAAAATGGCTGTGTTCAAATCCACCTTTAAACTCCACTACCTAAACAAGCTGTTTTCTTCACTGTGGATGAAACAACTGCTGTGCCAGCTGTGCTGGGACTGAACTCAGCCCAGGGGTGATTCGGGGATAGTGTGGAACAAAGGTGTTGATAGACTGTGCTGGGATGATGTAGGGACCTGCTCTGTGTGTACTCCAAGCAGAGATGGAACAGACATTTTCCTGTCCCAGATGAGAAGTGAAGGCATTGAAAAACTCTTGCAAAAAGTCATCTGAGAGCTGGGGAGTTACAAGCCAAGCTACACCTCCACAGCCAGTTATTTTGGTGGTCTCTGGAGGTATGACTCCCCAGTGCATCAGTGTGGGTACACCAGCACACCAGCCCGGCCCCTCTGCACAATCCTTGGACAGGATCAGCCCCAAAACTCCAGGGAATGGCAGAGAAAAGGCTCACAGCTCCCTGACACTAATGACAGCACAAGCACAGTGCAGTGTGGGTGGGTTTAGCCTGAGCAGGAGAGACTTTCCCCCTCATCAGACCCCCTGGAAGGGGGGTCTTCTGCCAGAAGGAAATGGGGAGAGGGAAGCTCAGCTTGTGCATCCCTCAGGTCTCTGCCTGGTGTTCGCTGCCCCTGTGGGAGTGTTTAAGGCACTGTGAACTAGAAAATCAATTAGAGAGTGTGTTGAAGCTATTGCAGCAATTCCACCTCTTCCAGGGGAGACACAGAACCTGCCAGGAGGATGAATTAGTAGGGAATTGGCACACAAGCTCCCTTGTTTCGAATCACAAGAGGGGCAGAGTGGATGCTCCAGGTCAGTTCCCAGTCTAACGTCCCT